ATCCTTGATGCCAATAATGAATGGAAAAATATTTACAATACTCATAATATTGAAAACATAAAAGAAATCAGACAACAAATCATTAACTCTATCTATAAAAGATGCACCAAACTTCAAACACACCCAACCTCGATGATCAATAGTATTCTATACTGTCACAAGAACCCAGTTAAATTTAACAATATCAAGCTTAATTAAGATATCATTACTGATTCTCCAACTATTAAATCTCATATCCAACAACACTTTGACAACTAAACTGTTCTCTATAACATTAATCACAATATCTTTCAGTCTCATTGGCAAGATGAATACAATCCCAAACAAAATATTAATCCTAACTAGTATTCCAGTATTCTTTTGGACTTTTCTCAAGATGAAACTATTGCTACAATTAACCAACTTTCTAACAATAAAGCATGTGGTCTATCCGGTATTAGCTATGAAATGATTAAATATGCTGGACCCACTTTTATTTTAGCAATTATCTCTCTCTTCACTGCTGCCTCAATCTTCAATCTATATGCAAACAATAAAAAGAAGGCCAGATCTTTCTTATTTCTAAAAAACCTATTTTTGATAGCAATTTATCTAATACTAGGCCTATTAGCCTAGTAAAACATATTAGAAAAGTCTATACCAAACTTCTTACAAACCACCTTAGCAATACTTTTTTCAAATATAATATTCTTTCTCCATTTAACTACATTGCTCTTCCTGGCAATTCTATATCCATCCCTATACATATCGTCAATAATATTATCAAAGATTCCAACTGCCAATCCAATTAACTTTGGCTTCTCTTACAAGATATGAGTAAAGCCTATGACTCTGTCAACTTTGAACTTTTTCAAAAATCTTTATATAGGCTTCAAATGCCCCAACAGCTTATTAATATCTTCTTTAATATTCTCTTTAACTATACTAACTATGTCATTACCAACCTTGGCCTTACCAACTTTTACTTAATAAAAAATAGTATTGACCAAGGTAAAACAATTATCCCTTTCTTTTAGAAAATCTACTATAACACTCTTATTTCTTATATTTTTTCAAACTTCTCAGGCTACACTCTCTCTACTTCCTAGCAATCCTGCCTTACTTTCACATCCTTCAACCACCATTACACCTCTCTATCTATTCTAGCCTATATGGACAATACAATTTGGATTACCCAATCTAAAGAAGAACTAAATAAGATTATCAACATTGCAACTTTCTTCTACAATATGGCCAATATACAAGTTAACTCTTCTAAATCTATACTTATTTCTAAACACCTATCTGCATCTATCTTCTTCTTGAATTTAAATCTTCTATCTATTCCAATCCATCAACCCTTCAAATTTCTGGGTTGCTAGTTCACCCTTAATAATAAGCAAACACAACAAATTAAGCTTATTCAAGATGAAGCTTTTTAGCTAGCTAATATTGCTAATACCAAAACTATTACTAACAAGCAAATCTCATATATTATTAATACTGTCATCATTTTAATTACTGAATACCATATTCAGAATATTGTTATTCATCTCTCTATCTATAACAAAATGCTTGGCAAATATTTAACTATTGCTAAATATAAGTCTCATCTTTTCTGATCAACTCCTAATAGTACTATGCTCAACTATAATCTCTATAATATCTACAGTCTATAGGATATACAACTTCAATATCACATTAGCAACTTTCTAAACTGTATTAACAATACTTCAACTTTTGGCCTAACAACCCATATCAGACTTCAATAACTTCAAAATAATCTATGGTCTGCTACTAATATTCTTTAACACCCAATCCTTTAATTGATGATCCCAACAGACACACTACTACTTTTAAAATTATACAACTTCTTAACTCGCTTAATATCTCTATTACTTCTAATCACAATCTTGCCTGGCCACAAACTCTAACCTGGGGTTGCTTTTCTCTTGAAAATATCCTTATTCAACATCCCAACTATTATACTTTTAAACACAAAAAGATTCTCTTTTTTGAACAACTATATTCCACTAACAATGATATACTACTTGGCTGGTCTCACTTATCTCCTAGATTACTTTATATTCCCAAAAGAAAAAAGCCCACTTGGTTTAATTATTTAGAAAATACTATCTTGTCTCATAGTCCTTTTCACACAATTATTCTCTCTTTCTGACCAACAGGACATAATTCTTTCACTTACCAAACTAATCTTATAAACAAATCTCTCAAACCCTGGTTACTTACCTCATACAATAATAGTATTATTATTAGACAAGTTCGCAAAATTTTTCACCAATCCAATACAATTTCTATTACACACTGGCAACATGATATCAATACTTCTCACTTAAACTATAACCTAACTCTAAAAAAAAACCTAACAAAAAGGCCTAAAAATTTTTTGAAATTTCATAAAAAATAGTTCAAAATTTCAGCATCATCTGATTTCAGCATTATTCCCAACAATATATAATTATATTGCAACTATTATTATTACTAAATTGTATTTAATATCTAATTTGCTATTTCAAATGTTTTATACTACAACTCTAAAGTATATTTTAATATTCTATATAATATATAAAAGGCTTTTCTATTTATTTGCTTTGTAACTGTTTTTTTTACCAAATAAATTTAATTAATTTTTTAATAATATTTATTGTTTCATAATACAAAAGTTTTATTACTTATTTTATTCTGTTTTTCATCTCAAAATTTATATTGTATTATATTTTCTATTTGATTATGTCTACTTTAACTATTAAGAATATAAAATATTTTTGCATAGATAATTGGTAAAAAGATTTTGATTTATTTGAAAAAAAATAATAAAATAAACTTTTAGAACAATCTTATTAAAAATGCTTTATTTCTGAAGATAATTAACGAAATATTAATATCTTAAAAAAAAACTATATAAAAATAATTAAGAGTTTTTTTAGATATAACAAAAAAATATTGATAATATAAAACTATATGATTTATTTTATATTTAGCAATTTTATATTTGCTTAATGATCTTTTAGAAGAATATGAATTGTTGCAAAGCTGACAAAAAAAGGTTTAAGAGATACTATAATATATATAAAGTAATATCAGATACAAATGTTGTCTAAAAGCTTTGTAATTAATATATATTATATTATTAATTAAGAAGTATGTTATATATATATAATCAATAGTAATTCCAAACTCTATTCTATTATATTACTTAATTTTAATAATTATAATACTTTCATCAAAAATCTTATCCTATATAATTAAAACTAAACAAATAAATTACTTCCAAAATATTTAATACTTTGGTAAATATCTAATGCTATAGTAAAAGTCCAATACTATAATATAAATATTAATTATAAAAATCAATAATTCAAATATCAATATGAGACATGGTACTAAGAATATATATATAACCAAATTAAGACAAATTAATTGTTGATATCAATAATTTTTAATAAATTATATATTATATATATAATTAAATTTTAGCATTTTTATGATGAGTAAAACATGGTACGTATAATGAAATTAAATAATTTTTTTTAAAAAAAAATTGTAATAATCAAAGATCATAAATATGTTAAATTATAAAACTAAACCACTTTATAAATTAGATTATTTACTATTTGTATTTAATAATTTGTAAGTTCATTAATATTGCGTTCCTGGTTTAAGCGCGACTACGTCGCGCAGCTACCCTAATTCATAATACGTTCAGCGCGTATAATAAAGCATTGTAACACGAATGATGTATGCATAAAATCGCAATTACTTATCTATTTTGAAATAACTGAAAATTTACTTATAGAATACTGATGAGTTGCTTGAATTAAGGAATTGTGCAATAAAATTCTCATTATGGTAAGATTTTTAAATCATATTTGAAGTTGGGAATGGTAAGTACTATTTATTTCTCGCAACAGTGAGAATAAGAGGTAAAACTCTGGGTCATCCGGGCTCGAAGGGCTCTTAGCAGGCCGGAGATCTACCAGGTTATTTCCCCGTAGCGGTGAAATAAGGGTATTATTCTTCGTTTTTATATGATGTTATGACGGCCTTACGACTCATAATAACTACTTTAATTAATAATAATAATAATAATAAAAATCAAGTTTCTAAAAATGTTTGTTATTTCTCCGGAAACGCTTGTTATTTCCGGACTTTCGGGGAACAAACATTGCTAGAAACTCGGTTTTTACTGATTAAAGTGGTGATTATAAGTTGTCAAACCTCGTCATGCGATTGTATAGAACGTGGAATAATATAACGTTTATTATTGGATTGAATAAGACGAAAAAGGAAGAATTTTTATATATTTCCAGAAATTCTAAGATTAGCAATTCTGATGGAACGTATAGTATCAGAGATTGAAATTGAAAATAAGACGTTCATTATTATAGTAATCATTTTAATGGGTAATTGCGATGGAATAGTTGTATTTTGCTAAAATTATTGAGATAAAGTTAAAGACGAATAAAAGTAGAATTCTCTATAATGAAGGTAGATCTTAACAAGTCCATTCAAATAAAGGCATTATTTTTAGATGGTTTGATCTTTTAATTTATTTATTGTTTTTATTATACTAGGATTATTATAATTTGAACGAGAATTAAATAATGAGTTGGTGATGATTTTAAAAGAACCTAAACAAAAAGAATAGAAAGAGCTAAACGAAAAATCGCATCTTAAATTCGCCATCAAAAAACCAAATCTCTATATAACACGATTTCGGATCAATATAAATGGGCTTTTGCTGGAAAAAGGAATGAAATTGACATACATTTTTACAAAAAATCAACATTATGGCGCATTTGTGAAATACCCCAAATTTTGAAAATTTTGACTACTGGCAGTGAGCCAATTTAATTGACATTATTATATATAAATATGAGTTTGAGTTATTGTTGCGTAATTGTGAAATATATTCTGATTTAAATTATGATATACTACGCTACGTAATAAAAATAATTGTTAAATAAGGTGCGTCGTCAAAAAGAATAAAAATTTGAACAATGGGAAGATGGGTTAAATGGTGGGAAAATGGGTTAGACGTTATGATACAATAGCGTTATGATAAATCAGGGGTGCAAAAAAAATTTTTGAGTTTAATTTTAAATCAATCAATAATAAATTTAGTGGCTGAATACTCAGATCTGGGGACCAAAATATCACTTAATTTCACAAACGCGCCGTAATGATTATCTCGCGAATAATTGATAAGAATCACATGATCTCGGTAATATTCATCAAAACGAATCGGATGATACCAAAATTATGCGATTCTGATTGTTAATTCGCAAGATATTTAATTTTTTTTTAAAGGAATTTTTTGTCAATTTTCATCCCTTTTTCCAGCAGCAAGCATATCGACGCCGCTGATTGAAAAATATGATCAATAGAAATTTTCTATATTATCATGAAAATCACAGGGAGTCACGCCTTTTGCAGAGTACCATAACAATTCAAATCCGTAAAATTCCAACATATCCATTTAATAATAATTTTGTGAGCATACAAACATAGTAACTACAAGTAAAAATACCTCATTCACGTTAATTTATAAAAAATTTTAATAATCTAATATTAGAATTTAGTATTTAAAAATATCTCTATCGATTAAATACATCCATATATCCTGTTTCTGGTTTTAGCACACCTGCTTCGCGTAATTACCCAATAAGAAAAAAAAAAGAAAAAAGAAAATGCAGTGATCGTTAATCGTTATGGGATCAAATTCAGTGTATCCCCTACTTTTAATAAATTTTCTAAAAATATATTTAATGTAGTTTAAATAAAGAAACTTATATATATATATATATATATATTTTTAAGGTATCTATAATATTCATTAAGGTGGGGGCTATGATCATTTGCTAATTATATAATACTAATAATACTGTATATATATGTAATTCAGCCTTATAGTTTTAATTTCTCTTCTCTCGTGCTAACATCTAGGGATGATGGTGATACTAATTAAACAACCAAATCTAGTAATTTAATACAACCATCTCGAGAAGCATTAAACATTAGCAAAAATAGCATTTAATGCACTGCAAGACACAAAAATTCATATCATACCGCATATTTATACTGCTTTAATCATTTAAGAGAAAAAGATTTTCAGATGCGCCGTTAAACAAAGGTCAAGTTAGAATTATTGTATGTACTATTATCTAAAAAACAAAGTCATCTGATTTAAAAACATAACAATATCACAATTATAAAAATGACTTCAAAGATTCACTTTATATAAACACACAGACCTTACGGTAAAGCATACAATTTTATTACAACCGATTTTTTTTTTAAAAAAAAGGATAAAAATAGAAATGGTGTTAGAGAATAACCCTAAAAATCTCGAGGAGAATTTGAAACAAAGAGGAGTCGGTAATTCCAATCCGATAGGTAAAATAATTTTGTTTCTTGAAATCTAAATTTTTAAAATTTTAATTAAATTTTTTTTCAAATTCATTAGGACTATTTGCATTCGGAACTACACAACTCATATATTCTTTGTATCTTATTCAAATAGCAAATATTACTAATAATCAAGTTGGGCTTGGTTCTGCTTTATTTTATGGTGGTATCATTCAAGTACTTTCTGGAATATATGGATTATTTTCTGGCAAAACTCTCAGTGCTACTATTTTATGTTCGTATGGTATGTTTAAAATTATATTTATATCATATGTTATCATAAAAAGATTCGTTCAAATTATTGTATCTTCTCTTTCTCGTAGGTGGTTTCTGGATCTCTTTTGGATTTATTTATCTGCCAAGTTCTGGGATCATTGATTCATTTAAAGATGATCAAGTGATGCTTAGAAATGCCATTGGAATTTATCTTACCGTATGGGCTATTTGTTAGTATTATTCTCTTAATCTTATCGTATCTTATTTTGGTTTCATTGTCTAATTTTTTTACTCAAATTTTTATTTATAGTTACATTTTTAATGTTAATTGCCTCCTTAAAGACTACGATTTTAGAAATTTCAACAATAACATTTGCATTGACTGTCTTTATTTTTCTTACTCTCGCTAATTTTACTGGTTTAAACGTTTTTTCTCGCATCGCTGGATACTTTGGAGGTAAGAATTTTTGAAATATTATTATTATGGTAAATCTTATATTGTTATTAATAATAAAAAAAATTCTTCTTTTAAGTATTAGCAGCTCTTGGTCTGTGGTATATGGCAATGGCTCAATTACTTACTAAAGAAACTTCATATTTCTTATTACCACTTTTCCCGATAAATAATAATATTAATAATAATAATGAATCATCTAGACTTGTTTAATTTCAATTATATAGTAATTATAAAGTTTCTATGTTATTAATTATTTTTCTTTACAATGACTTCTTTTTTGTATAAATTTATAAAATTTGAAATTTTAAATTTGTTAGAATTCGATTTGTGTAAATTTATTGTTGGATGATATTTAAATTTTAATCCACGTTTTAATAATAAAAAATTTTAATTCTCAAATGGCTTTAATAATTAAGTAGTATTAAATAAAAATGCCTGACACTTTAAAAATCTAATATATAACTCAAATACAAGTCAGCTAGCTATTGAATTTACATACAACTGTAATATCTTTTATTTTTCTTCCAAGTGTACTTTATTTTCACGTTAATTATCATAAAGATTTTTCCTAGTTGAAATTGGACTGTTCATATATCTTGTTACTGTTGACATCTTATGATTTTAAACTCTATTAATCTGAAAGTGTTATAGCCTTAATTTCGCTTTTAAAATCAAAAGATTTCAAAAATGATTCAACACATCAACTCGTTATGCGTCATTAATTTACAGTATGCCAATTATAAATTGACGTATGTCGTTTTCAATTAAAAACGACATTTATCATAAATTTACAATTAATAAAAAAAATTGATACAGTTACAGTATTTGAACCCGTGTAGAATTTACATATGGCATGTGTGTTTCTAATATAAAAAGCAACGCAATAATTTTGACTATTATAATTTCGCCAAAGACCCATTATGTAAAGCAAACTGTTTGAACAACCTCTTTTTTTACTTTTGTATCACTTTGACTAAACGTTTAATATCTTCTGCTCGCTCCGGACAATTAACATAATTTTATTTAGAGCATTAATTTATTTTCCTTTTTTTAAAATGAAAAAGGACTCTAAACAACTTTGTACACTTGGTCAGAATTATCAAAATGGTATCGGTGTTAGAAAGGCGAAAGGAGGCTTTTGGATATTATTTGAAAGCAGCTAAGTTAGGAATTCAAATGCGATAGGCGAAGTTGGTCATTATTATCATTATTGCATTGGAGTAGAAATAAACGATCAGGATATTATGAGAAATCGGTTGATTTGGATAATGTTTATGCAATGTGTTATGTTGGTGTTTGTTATAAAATGGATACGGGGTTGATCGAGATTATAATAAAGCATTCGAATACTATTAATATGGGTATTGATGCAGCAATGAGAAATGTTGCTAAACTTTATCGAAGCAGTATGGGAATTGTTGGTATACTAAGTGTAGAAGTCATTTGAAAACCAATAAATCACCTGATCATATCAATTCTGAACTTAAGAAAATGAGAGATTTAAATTATCTTGGATTAATTATGAATTCAGAGATATCAAGGAAAAGAGAAAGGTGGATTTGCAACCGTATATTATGCGCGTTGGCGCGATAGAATTAATAATATGTGGCATCATGGTGCACTTAAAGTGATTTGTGGTTCAAACGAGAATTTACCCACGAATTGAAGAATTATTGTGAAATTGATTATGAGAATCTTTCGTTTTGGGAATGTTTTGGACTGTCAAGAAATGAATAAGGTGATTACATTATTGTTATGCATCATGCAATAAAAGAACATTACGACAAAATCTTGTACAAGTATCACAATTGAAATGGAATGATAAATTGAATATTTTATATTTTATAGCTGTGGACCTTGAATCGATTCATTCGCAGGAACTCGTTCACAGAGATTTACACAGTGGAAACATTTTGCAAGAAATTTGCAAGGTGTATATATTACAGATCTTGGACTTTCTAAAAAAGCTAAGGAAGGAAAAATTTGTGGAATTCTGCCGTATATAGTGCCTGAGGTTTTGGTTGGTCAACCGTATACTCAAGCATCAGATATTTACAGTTTTTGCAGAGATTTCGACAGGACAAAGAGCGTTTGATGGAATTTTTTAATGGTGATCTTGTATTAAGAATTATCAGATTTAAATGTTTAGGTTCAGATTTTATGTTAAATTAGCTATAAAGGTATTGATAAACGGCCTAATAGAGATTAAACCTAGGTGCAATGCGCGGATGATCCTCGATTTTGATTGGCTAACGGCCGGTGATCTTTGAAATTTTGGCCCGCATTACAAAATTGTTTACTAAATTCCGGCCGGATTTGACTTTTTAATTTTCTCATTATAAAAATAGAAATTTTTAAAAAATAAGCACGCATTATGGTATAATTGGCCCAGGAACAATTTTCACTTAATAGGCGGCTGCGATTTCATTAGTAAAATTATGAGTAATTCCGGCCTAAT